TAGTAAAATAAATTTGTAATACTATTTAGTTGTATAAAATTAAGTGTGTGGTTTGCAATTGTTTTTAATTATTTAAAAAAGTGGTTATTTTGAATATTAAATATTCTATTATACTATAATTAATTAGTTTTATTTAATAATTTGAAATAAGAAATCAATCACATGAATATAAAATTTAGTACTTTTAATAGTTACTATAAGAATGTTGAAGTTTAGTTTCCAAAAAAATTTTAGTGGGCTAAACCCACCTTAACCCTGACCCTAACCCCCTTGAGAGGGGGCTTTGGGGGTTGGGGCTTTTTTTTGGCCCCTATTTGAGGGGTTTCTTAAGAGGAGACCTTTTCAAGAGTGGGTTAGAGCTAGTCCCGATGTCATAGGTCAAATTGACAGCTCTAGTTTCTTCAAGTTGAAGAGACTCCAATAAAGGGTGACTTTTCATGGCAACCAAAGAAAATAAATTGACAATTTGAGATATACAATACAAATGTACAAACGGGCGTATAAAATATTTTATGAGGTACTTAAAAAAATAACTTATATTTTATAGAAATTTTGAAATATTTTGTAATCTAATATGTTCTTTAGCTAAACAATTTAGAAAGAAGTTAAAAAATTTAAATATTATGAGAACAATCTTTTTTTTTTTTAATTAGAAAGATGTGAATTTTGCAAAGAAATAAAAATTTGAATTTTTCATATTTTTCAATTTATATATGTTTTCTTCATATTATTTATCAATTTGATTTTTATTGAGTTGATTTTGTATCAATTATTTCATTAATATCGAAATATTGTTAGAACTATTACTTTTCCATTTATGTTTATTATAAATCTTTTAGTGATTTTGATAAGCGATATTTTCTTATTTAAATTGTTAAAACTTTTAGAAATTTTCTATTAATTTTAACTAGAGTTTTTTTTTTTAAACTAATATTTGAGATTTTATACTATTCGACACCTTTTTGTTTCCATGTCAGGTGAAGAATATGCGCGTATTTGAATTATTTACATAATTTGAGTTATTTAATACGTCAAAAAGAATTTAAAGCAATTAAATTAAAATGATTACATTTATTTATTTTTAATTTTAAATTATTTTTAATTTTGATGTACAATAAATCAATAAAGGTGTATTTGCAAATTTGATTTTGTGATTTTGAACATGGTTTGCGATTTTTTGGCACATCAAGGAGTTTTCATGGCCGTGTGATTTTTACAAATCTATGATTTGGGTTTTGTGAATTACGGTTGAATGATAGAACACAATTGTTGTTGAAAGGTGGATTCAGAGATTCGTGATTTGGTTTTACAAATTCAAACATGGTTTGCGCGAATGGGTGGTAAAGATAGCGTTGTTGTTGATGGTTGTTAACGATTACTCCAATGGCGGTGATTCAAACGAAAGACTAATATTCTGTATAGTTGATAATAATTGAAATACTTTATTCAAATAAAAAATTAATAACTTATTTGTATTGTTTTAAAAATATTTAAAAAATAAAATAATTTAGAATGAAGTCAGCTTAAATTTAATGTATTTAATTGATAGTAAATTATAAGTAAATATACTTTGAAAATTACCAAAGTAAACATTTTTTAAACTTAAAAAGTTCAAACTAAAACGGAATCGATTTGTTAAAATTTAATTACTCCTATTCTAAAAGTTATTATTCTAATCACTACAGTAGTTTGTGAAACATACAATATTAATATTTATTCATATAGATAAAATATTTTTAATTATTAATAAATAATTCATAATGAAATGGTAATATATTTAATATACATACGATTATATAAACTTTTATGACAATACTTTCTACCTTATCCTAATCTAGACTCTTAATTTTTGTAGTTAAAAAGAAGTTTCCTAACATTTATCAGATGTTTCACAAAGTGCTTTATGAATTTGAACAGTAGTGTATTGCTATTACAAAAATTCAAAGGCAATTTATTAAGATTAAAAAATGTTCTTTAAGATATTGATTCATATTATTGTAACTAGTAGAACTGATAATACCACAATTCTAATGTTGAAGAAATTTGCTAACAAATCTAATTTTATTATTTAACATTCAATATAAACTAAACGGTAATAGATTTTGAAGTGTCTTTAATAAATAAAACGAGGAGAGGTTTAAAATATCTTAAACTACAAACTAAAAAATAAATAAATAACTTTAGTAGAAAAATATAACATGAGAAAGTTAACCTTTGTTGCTTACAAAACAGTGTCAGAAAAATTAAAATAAATCACTTAATTATCCAATACCACAGATTGAAGATGAGTTTAAAACAAATAACTACAGTAAAATGAAATCTTATAAACTATTTCGACTGAAACTAGTAAAAGTCATTATCATATGACATATTCATGAATAAAAATAATTTCACTTAAGAGGAGTTTATGAAGAGTATCTTCTGAATTGATCCAAACACTTATTTTAAAAGTTTGAAGAATATTGTTTATGCATTTTTCGTATGATTATACCAGTAAATTTATGTACTTTTATTTGATATTAACAATGTCAATATAACCTAAAATAATTTATATTCACGATTGTGATCTCACCTAATAAAAAGAGTTATTATTTCATACATTTTTCTCCATTCTATATACGCACCCCTCCCACCAATATATTACAGGTGTGCTAATATTTACTAACGTATAACTATTATTTGACAAAATACAAAATACAGTGGAAATGATCATCCATTATTATATTTGTTTAAATGAAATTTGTAAATTTAATATAATTCATAAGCAAAATATTACAAATTTGTGATTGAATTAATTAATTTCATATTTAAAATTTTTTGAATACTAAGGATAAATACTTGCCACCTAATTATTAATACTCATATATATATATATATATATATATATATATATATAT